ATATAATAAAACGAATTTAATAAAAGTAATCTAGGAAAAACAAATAGTAACCAATTAAGATAAATCAAATAAAAAAGAAAAGGTTTTGAGAAATAATTTTGGAAAAGCACTAGGGTTAATTACTTCTAAATTACCCATGCAACTTTAAAGGTTAGGTTTTTCTAATGTATATTCTACTTGTGGCATTCGAGCTAGAACGTATATCAAACTTGCAATTCGTATGTGGTATTCAGATCAAATATAAACAAGCATGACTCATTACACTTTGTGAAAACCCTTTGAAAAACCATACAATCCTTAAGATGTGGCATTCGCTTTAAGTAAAATTACAACTATCAATCACAAGAAGCAATGCTCAATCCTCTTGTGGCATTCCGACTGAATTGCATCTGATTACTTATCTAAACATCCTAGTGGTAGCTAAGCATTAAGATATAGAGACAATTTAAACATAATGATTAACAATTCAAAGTATGCATGCATAATATCTTAAGCGATTAAATCAAAACTACATATTCATGCTAAGACTCAAGGCATTGTTCAATCAAATAGAAATTAGTTACGAACAACCATAAAATAAAATATTATTAAGAACATGGATAGAGAACACCTTGTAGGTACTTGTCCAAATTAGTGTGTGCATTCTCTACTGGCTAAATAGCCTTATTTATTAGAAAATACAATCCTTCCTAGAAAATGTCTTCTAAAAACTAGGAAACATAATAGAGTAAGATAACTAGGAAATAAAAGGTTTCCTATTTAAATTGAAATTCGGACTTCTCATCAAATCTGACTTTCTGATAGATCAAATCAACTCCAATTTTTTCCCAAAATTTAAAGCTTTATTTGTCCTTAACAAATCCTCAGAAGGAATCTTCCTCAAAATCACCAAAATGCCCAAAACGTCCATAAACGTCAATTTGGGAAAGCTGCACGCTGGGCCTTCTTTTCTTCGCCACGATCAAACGACTTGGTAGAAAAATATGAACCTTTTACACAATCATCTTGAAAGACTCATAAACATCCTCCAATTAGAATCACTCCAAAATTCATACGTTTGATCACTTTTCGCTCAAGAGGAATTTGAATATCCCACATTGGAAATAAAATTCAAAGTATCAAAATCTCACAAAATAACCAATACATTAATACTAAGATTAGGGAAAAATATATAGTATAATATGGACTCATCAGTGGCATCCTACTTCATTTGATATAGCTCCGCCTACAGATGGTGAGTCCATGACTGAACTTCTAAGGTAGTAGTACTCAGATCAACCTTACTCCGGCCCTAGAAAATCATGATCTCACAGTTACCCTAAAAAGGCCAACCTCACAACCAACTTCATGGTTGTAGATTGCCTTTCATCCTATAGTGTGATACTGGGACAACCTTTTTGACTGATCTACATCACCGTTAATCACCAGATGCTCGCCATGAAATTTCCCACCCCGAATGGTGTAGGCATTATTAAAGGCGACCATACATTAGCAAGGTATGCTATGTGATAGAAGTTTTTATCACACACGCAAACGGGTTAAAAACTCCTATATTACTTGCAAGAATGACAAGGTTGTTGTAGTATAAACGATTCTCGCAAGGTCGTTCTCCACAGGGATTATTAAATAATTCAAAACAAATCAACTTTCAATTAATTATTGTAAAGCAGAAAGTTGAGATGATTGATTTTATAACCTACTTAAATTAAAACGAATTGAATTAATAAAAATAAACTAATCTGCAATATTAAAGATGAAAGGAAAAGAAAACTATTTTGGAAAAATCAAATTAAGAAAGCACTAGGGTTCCACCATCACCTAGCAATTCTATGTATTGTTACCAATTACTTATGATCTGCACATGCCACTTTGAAGGTTAGTTTTCCTAATTTATATTCTACTTGGAACCTCCAACATAGAACGTTTACAGACGTTCGGATCAAATTTGAACATGAGAGACTCATTATGCTTTATGAAAACCCTTTGAAAAACCATGCAACCCTTAAGACGTGGTGTTCATCTTAAGTGAAATTACAATTATTAACCACAAGACGCCAGCCTCAATTTCAGGGAACATTCCGACCAAAATTGCATCAAATTATTTTTCTAAAGATCCTAATGGTGATCAGGCATTAAGACAATTAGATAGTTTTAGTCACGGTGATTAGTAATTCAAAGTGCACATGCAATCAATCATAAGCAATTAAATAAAAATTACATATTCAGACTCAAGGCTTCGCCCTAGCAAAGGAATTAGTACGCATATTCATAATGAAAATCATAGAAAATATTATTGGAATAAAAGGAATGAAAACACCTTAAAGTAGAAAATCTCCAAGAACCCTAGCCAAGTTCTTTGTCTCCAAAGTAGCATAAATAAAGCCTCCCCTATCTAGAACCAGCCAAAGGCTTTTTAATCCCCCTAAAGCCAGCACACAAACCCTAACAACCAAGTATTTTATTCCCACTAAGAAACTAAATAATAATAAAATGAAATAGAAAATAAAGTCCTAATTAAACTAGGAGAATCTGCCAAGTACTTGTCCAGCCACGTTTTAGTCTCAGAACCCTCCAAATCCGGCCCATAATAGTTTGTTTTGAAGATTATGACGTTCTGAACATATCTCCAGAAGGCCACGAACTCATCTGAGGTCATCTTAAGCTCCAAAAACATCATTCAAGCCCAAAACGTCACTATTCCAGCACTGTGCATGGCTCCTTTATTTTATTGCCAGAAAATCATCGCTTGGTAAAAAAATCTGATATTTTGATAGGATCAAGCTAAGTGACTCACAAATGTCCTCCAATTGGAATTACTCCAAAATTCATCCCTTTGGTCATGTTTTGCTTCAGAGGAAGTCGAATGTCCTATATTAGAAATACAATTCAAAGTATCAAAATTCTTCCAAATTATTAACCAAAATATACTAAGAATAGGGTAAGATATATAATATAAAATATACTCATCAAAATACCCCCAAACTCAGCTTTTTACTTGTCCTCAAGCAAAACAAAACTAGAAAACAACAATAAACATTAACAAACTAGAAACTTAACTAAAACTAATTGACAAAAATTTCCACCTTCAAAGTTGCAATCCATAGAACACGTTAAAAATTAGAACATCTTTTCAAAAGTTCCAACCAATCCCACCACAAAGTCTAAACCATTTAGAATCAATTAGAAAAGAATTCACAAACTTCATTTGGTGTAAAGTAAATCAACATAGCTAAGGAGACTCGACTAAACCTTTACCTCGCGTCCTTCTTTATTTCACACATGCTAACTTTAAATATAACTATTTTTTTTTCTTTCTTCTTTTCGATTTTCTTTTTCTTTTTTTTTTCTTTTTCATATATAATATTTTTTTTTAGTAACAATAGTGGTCGTGCAATGTTGGTTCACTTAAGCTTTCGATCCAACCCATGTAGCGAGCTTTAGGTCAATGACTCCCAAACCACTAGGGCTTTAGGGTACTAGGTGTAGAACACCCCTAAGGACTTATTAACCCGAGCTGAAAAGGCTACAAGACCAACTAACCACCTTGCCCCATGCCAAAACTCTTTTTTTTGACGTGAGAATCACTGCTGATTAGGCAGGACTGGCTCGTTTACTAGGCAAAGTCTTGGGTGAGACAATTATTACTTTATAACACAAACTAACTTTACTTTACTTAGAACAAAAATTAAAAATGAAACTTAGACTAAACGTAAGTGTTTCAATCTCACTCCCCACAAACCGTGTTGATGTGAATGTGCAAATTGTCAAAGTATAATTCATGAATTAGTGTCTAAGCAACAATAAATAGAAAAGACTCTAATGTGGGATTAACCTTCATCATGTCCATTTGTTCTAACATTTAAAATATTATATGGATATTAACTTAAAAAGAATGAAAATTTTAACTTGACACAAAAATTAAAAACCTAAAATGTTATTTCCCACCCCCAATCTTATTTAACACTTTGTCCTCAAGGTGTGGAAAATAAAAGAACACATTAAAATAAATTCGGAACAAAACTAAAAACTAGCTAAACAATGAATGAAAAAAAAACGGAAAACAAGAAAGAAAGAAATGATATAAAGACAAAAGATAAAATCGAAATAAAAGAAAAGAAATTAAAAAGAAAGAAGGATAGGACTTGATGATGTGCAAGAGATAAAACTTTTAACACTAGGCCGTGAGAAAACATGTAGGCCGCGTAAAACAGCCCACTTGCCGTAGATAAGGAGCTCACACGCATGCCACGCACGAACACCAATAACCGTAGCCGTTCTGAAATAAACATTGGATGCCCTGCTCATAGGGGTGGTTTGGTATGGGATACCATACCGAAACTAGTATCTCGAATCCCTAATCGAAATTTTTCGGGACGGGAATTTGAAGACCAATCCCAAACCAAATTTTCGGGAATCCAAATTTTGGGATTTTGGGACAAATTGGGAATCCCAAATTGAAATATGAAATTATGAATTGTTCTTCAAATATATAATTCAATAACACATTCTTGAACTAGGAATTTCATTTCATTTACACTACCATTTACTTGAACACTAGCATGCCTGATTGTTTTTATCATAGTCAAAATTCAAATTAATTAAACCCTTTTTGCAATCTGTTGAGAGACAAAAGAATCAAGCCATCTAAAATCAGCAGCCATGGCAGCAGCAATAACAAAATCCACATGAATATCAAACAAAACAGGAAAAATATGCAAGGTGTAGGGCATTCCAGGTTGTAGAGCATGAATTAGAAACTACTAGCATCAATTATAAAAGAATAATATATATATATGTATAAATATATTTATATATATATATAATAATTAATATTATATATTTTCGGTTCGGTATGGGATTCCCGAAATATCGAGAAGCCAATCCCGAATCCCATACCGAAATTTTGGGATCGGTTCGGGATAGCATCCCGAAAATTTCGGGAATTTTGGTTTGGGAAATTTTTGGTTTGGGATCGGGATTTTTTCGGTTTGGTTCGGGATTTTCGGGAATTTTTTCCACCCCTACCTGCTCATTTGCCTCGAGCCCAAAGGCAACGGTTCTTTTATTTTCATCAAAACCAGAGCCGAAGGGCTCTTTATTTCCCCATTTCAAAACAGCCTTCTCGGACAGACATGAAAGGCTCCAGATTTGTACACGTGTCTTGCATTCGGGTGATGAGTTCCTTAGGATTCCAACTGAAAAGCTCCATTATGTTCCATTTCTCTTTGAAACCATTTCTCTCTAGAATGAAAAATAGCTCTCCCTCCCTCACATTTTTCTCTCATTTCCTCACCCCTCTTCACCCTTAGCCGCTTTTCTCAACCAAACCTTTCGTTTCCCATGCCTCAAACCATCATGGATTCAAGCTCAGATCTTCATTACCGTCATTCCTTGAACAAAGTTACGCTCAGAAATCAGAGATTGGAGTTCGATCCGTACATGCAAAGGTAAAGATCCTTTAATCACCTACTATAGCTTATGTGTGACCAACAAATCTTGAAAACCTACTCAAATATTCATGCATGTGTGTTTTCTGTGAAAAGGTACCCTCGATCCGCAAGGAAAATGAAGAGAACTGTACGAATGACACCTTAGGCTCGCAGATCCAGAAAAGGGAAGTGGGAAGAACATTTGGACATCATAGATCCATGAACCTCAAAACTCACAGATCACAATGATCCAGGAATCTGAAGGTGTACAACTCGTCTTTTTCACCGACATAGAAAAAGATATGCACCTTGAATGTGGACCCGAGTATGCAATCTATACAGTCTTGACTACCCCCAAACTTGAATGCTATAATAGTGATCTGCTGAGTTTATATCTCATTTCAAAGTTTGTGGTTGTAGCTTCGGATAACCCAGCAAGGCACAAAATCAATTGGAGCTACTGGGAAGCCAAGAGAGAATCCCAGATTCACATTTGCATAGGTATAATCCTGAACTTGCTCCATATTTCCTTCATTGATTTATGCTTTAAGTAATTGTTGTGGTTGATAGTAAAGTGCTGCTGGTTTCAGTCTTTTGCTTGTTCCTGGAATGTTTTGAAAGCAACCTGCATATTCATAGACTTGTGTATCAGATTCACATAGATACTGCTAGAAAAAGATAAATTAAAAACAAAATATTTGTGTAGTTTGCATTTTTATTTTTATTTTATTTTATTTTTTTGATGTTTTCTGTTTCTATTTTTTTTTTTTTCAATTGCATAGTAAGTGAAACAAATAGTAACGAAATTAACAACCATAAAATGCGTGACTGAATTTCGAAGAAACTAAAAAGAGTAGGGATAGAAAATTGTGTTGCCTCCCAATAAGCGCTTTAGTTAACATCCATTGCTAGACGTTGCCGAAGCTTGGTGGTCAAATCACTAGTTCCTTTAGAGTCAGTGACTCGCGTGCACTAAACTTCCTTAGGAATGGCTTCAGTAAAGACTTCTTGACCTTGAGCACACAACCCCTGCCCTCTTTTTCAATGTCCACGTTACCGTTATGAAAAACCTGCTTAACCATATAAGGGCCCTTCCATCGAGACTTTTGTCTCTCTGGAATTGACTTGAAATCTGAACTTAACAACCATACTTTTTTACCAGGCTGTATTTTTTCATAACTTGGATTACCTTGCAACTTTTTATTCTTGCCCTTGACATTTTGGTGTTTTTGGTTCATCTGGTTGCTCAGATCTGTTTTTGATTTTTGCACTTCAAGCAACTAAACTTTGTGATGCTGTGCTTTACCATCACACTCACGAATCACATTTTGAGTCTTTATGGGCAGATTGTCAGTTGATGATCTAGTCACAAATTTGGCATGAGGCAAACCATCTAATGCGTCAACACGCATGCATTCTTGCTTGTCACCTGGATGTGTGGTACCGTCAAACAATCTAAAAACAACCGTTTGATCTTTAACCTGGAATGTTAGAGTTCTCGCTTCAACATCAATAAGAGTCCGAGCTATTGCCAAGAATGGATAGCCCAAAATGATGGGAGTTGTCAAATCCTCATCCATGTCCAACACCATAAAATCAGCTGGTAAATATAGATTGTCAACCTTAACAATAACATCTTCAATGACTCCTTTAGGATAGGTAATTGAACGGTCAGCCAATTGAATAATGCTGGAGGTTGGCTTCAACTCTTTTTCACCTAAATGTTTAAAAATAGAATAAGGCACTAACTTTACACTAGCACCTAAGTCAATTAAAGCGCTACTAAAATCACAATGTCTAATGGTTCAAGAGATAGTAAAACTCCCTGGATCTTTCTTCTTTGGAGGCAATTTATGCAATAAGACTGCACTGCACTGTTCCGTTAGAATCACTTTTTCAAAATCCACGAGCTTCTTTTTCTTTGTACAAACATCCTTCAAAAACTTGGCATAAGATGGAATGTTCTTGATTGCATCAATTAATGGTAGATTAATCTAAACTTTAGCCAAAGTCTTCATAAAATCTATCAGCTGTTGGTCTTTAGCTCTAGGCTTCAACCTTTCAGGATAAGGCATTGGAGGCACATAAACGCGTTCTACAATTTTTGTGGTAGCTTCTGCAGTATTTTTGAATCTATCTTGTGGCTGCCCAGAATTTGCAGAAATTGCAGAATCTGCAAAAATATTAGATTTTGCAAAATTTCCCGAATCTATTTGTGGTTGTGCACGCCTGCGAATTTTCAGCACAGTTTTCATGTCTGTTGTCATAACTTTTGCGAGACCGTTAAGTCTGTATAGCGTTGCATTCTTCTCGTCCTCTTGGATTAGGTACTGTTTGACTAGGAAAAGTACTCGATGCTCTTTCTGAAACTTGCAATGCAATCTGCTTAATTTGTTTTTCCATATTTTTCATTGATGCATGTAGATTTTGGATTTCTTGACTAGTAGTATTTGCTAATTTTTCAATTGTAATCTCCCAAGCAGCCTGAGGTGTAGCAGATTGTTGGTACCTGTTGTTGAATTTATGGCTTTGCATGCTGATCTCTATCCCACTTTAAATTAGGATAATATCTCCAACCCGGGTTGTAAAAATTTGAATACGGGTCATTTCTTGGACATTGAAAATTATTAAATGCATTAACTTGTTTCGCTGCAAACTACGGATAAGCAGCTTTATGTGGACAGCTCAAAACATCATGTGTTGTTATGTTGCAAATGTTGCAGGCAGCTTGTAAGGGTAGCTGTACTGCAACCTGTGAACCTGGAATTCTTTGTAATAACATGTCAAATTTTGCATCAAATCTTTCAAGCTTTTTCTCCATTTTTTCAATTTGTGCCGACACATATGGAGAACCATTAGACATCTCAAAAACTGACCTAGATTGTGGCTGCTCAATTGCCCATTGCTGTGTATCTATTGCCATTTTTTCAAATAACAAACAAGCTTCTTGTGCATTTTTATCCTTGTACGAACCTCCGCATGAAGCGTTAACAAGAGTTTTTGTTGTCATATTTAACCCTCTGAAAAATATATGTATTTGATCAGTACTGTTAATACCAGAATGTGGACATTTTCTAATCATCTCTTTTAACCGTTCCCACGCCTCATGAAACTCTTCATTTGGTTTTTGGGCAAAAGATAGAATTTGAGTTCTCATGTCAAGAGTCTTTGAAGCTGGATAATACTTGCTTAAGAATTTTCACTGAGTTGGTTCCAAGTGTTAATACTTCCAGATGGAAGTGTGAGGAGCCATCTCCTTGCTTGATCTTTCAGAGTTTATGGAAATAAACGGAGCTTAATAGATTCGGCTGAAAATCCTCTCACCAAAATATTCTTACATCCATTAAAAATTTTGCAATGTGCATGTTAGGATCGTCGGTTGAGAACCCATGAAATGTAGGTAGAATATTCAACATGTGCTGCTTTATTTCGAATGTAGACCCTTCCTCCACTTCAGGATAAGTAATGCAACTTGGTATGTTAGTGGCATGAGCTGTTAATGAATCCCCTAAAGGTTGACCAACCTTTGGAATAACAAATGCCATTGTTTCCTTACTGTGCAGATCCTCAGAAAATAAAGATTGCAGAAAAGTCCCTTGCAAAGAAGGAACCCACTATAAATTTTTCTCCCTGTGTCTCCTCCTTATAATCTACTCAGGTTTTGGATCAAAATGAAACAATTTCTGCACTGCTGAACGGGTGCTGATCATGCACAAATTGTTGTAATCGGCACTGTTGTACTACTGTAATCAGTAAAAATAAAATAAAAATGAAAATTAATTTTTTTATTTTTATTTTTATTTTTTTATGTATATATATAGCAATAACTAACTAAAAATCTGATTAGAATGAATTATTTTAAATAATCCCTGGCAGCGGCGCCAATTTCTTGATAGAAGTTTTTATCACACACGCAAACGGGTTAAAAACTCCTATATTACTAACAAGAATGACAAGGTTGTTGTAGTATAAACGGCTTTTGCAAGGTCGTTCTCCACAGGGATTATTAAATAATACGAAACAAATCAACTTCCAATTAATTATTGTAAAGCAGAAAGTTGAGATGATTGATTTTATAACCTACTTAAATTAAAACAAATTGAATTAATAAACATAAACTAATATGCAATATTAAAGATGAAGGGAAAAGAAAATTGTTTTGGAAAAATCAAATTAAGAAAGCGCTAGGGTTCCAGCATCACCTAGCAATTCTATGTATTTTTACCAATTACTTATGATCTACACATGCCACTTTGAAGGTTAGGTTTTCCTAATTTATATTCTACTTGGAACCTCCAACATAGAACGTATATCTAACATGTAACTCATCCGGACGTTCGGATCAAATTTGAAGATGAGAGACTCATTATGTTTTATGAAAACCCTTTGAAAAACAATGCAACCCTTAAGACGTGGTGTTCATCTTAAGTGAAATTATAATTATTAACCACAAGACGCCAGCTTCAATTTCAGGGAACCTTCCGATCAAAATTACATCAAATTACTTTTCTGAAGATCCTTATGGTGATCAGGCATTAAGACAATTAGATAGTTTTAATCACGGTGATTAGTAATTCAAAGTGCACATGCAATCAATCATAAGCAATTAAATAAAAATTACATATTCATGCTAAGGCTCAAGGCTTCGCCATAGCAAAGAAATTAGTTACGCATATTCATAATGAAAATCATAGAAAATATTATTGGAATAAAAGGAATGAAAACACCTTAAAGTAGAAAATCTCTAAGAACCCTAGCCAAGTTCTTTGCCTCCAAAGTAGCATAAAATAAAGCCTCCTCCTATCTAGAACCAGCCAAAGCCTTTTTAATCCCCCCTAAAGCCAGCGCACAAACCCTAACAACCAAGTATTTTATTCCCACTAAGAAACTAAATAATAATAAAATGAAATAGAAAATAAAATCCTAATTAAACTAGGAGAATCTGCCAAGTACTTGTCCAGCCACGTTTTAGCCTCAAAATCCTCCAAATCCGGCCCATAATAGCTTGTTTTGAAGATTAGGACGTTCTGAACACATCTGCAGAAGGCCACAAACTCATCCGAGGTCATCTTGGGCTTCAAAAACGTTATTCAAGCCCAAAACGTCACTATTCCAACACTGCGCATGGCTCCTTTATTTTATTGCCAGAAAATCATCGCTTGGTAGAAAAATCTGATATTTTAATACGATCAAGCCAAGTGACTCATGAATGTCGTCCAACTGGAATTACTCCAAAATTCATCCATTTGACCTTGTTTTGCTTCAGAGGAAGTTGAATGTCCTATATTAGAAATACAATTCAAAATATCAAAATTCTTCCAAATTATTAACCAAAATATACTAAGAATAGGGTAAAATATAAAATGGAATATACTCATCACTATGCATCAGTTGCAAAAGTCAAGACTGCGATTACAACCGAGCACTTTGTTGTTGCCTTAGAGTTAAAGATGGAGTACCCACTCCAGACCCTAGAGATGAAGAATGTCGAGCACACTGGGAGCCGATGGAAGAATCGGAAACCCTAGTATTCTCGGAGAAACTGCTAACCCGAGTTGTACGTATCGGCACTAAGTTGGCACTAGAAGTAGGAGCAGAAATGGTCTGCTTTCTAAGAGTGCATACAAATGTCTCTGCATGGTCCTACGCAAACATAACTGGCATTAATTCGAGAGTTATATCCCACCGCCTTAGCCTTGACTCGTACTGTAAACCAGTACGACATGAGAGATGATACCGAGCGCCATGAAGCCATGAAGGTGGAAGTGACAAGTTGCTAGACATAGGATTCATTAGGAAAGTGGATTACCCAAGGCTGGTAGCCAATGTGATCGTGGTAAAGAAGATTGAGGCGGCTGAGCATCTTATCAAATGGCTCATGTGCACAGATTATACCAACCTGAATGGAGCAGGCCCCAATGAGAGCTTCCCTTTACCTCGTATCAACCGCCCGATAGATGCAACAGCCGACCGAGAGCTTTTGAGCCTTCTCGATGCATAATCAAGGTACAACTAGATATGTATGCACCCGGCCGACCAAAATGACGCGACATTCATTACCGATAGAGGGTTCTATTGTTGGGACTTGCTGCCCTTTGTGCTCAAGAATACATGGGCTACATACCAACGGTTGGTAAATCAAATGTTTGCCAACCACATTGGCAAGATTCCACAAGTATATGTTGATGACCATGCTCGTTAAGAGCAGAAAGAGAACCAACACTTGGCCGAGTTGGCCAAATTATTAAAGATTCTGAATGCTTACTAAATGAAGATGAACCCCACCAAGTATGCCTTTGCGGTCAGCTCGGGTGAAATTTTGGGGTTCATGGTAAGTTAGAGAGGGATTGAGGATAACCCAGAAAAATCATGGCGCTCATAAACCTGACACCTTCACGCACGAAGAAGGAGATACTTTGCTTACCGGTCGAGTTGATGCTCTTAACCATTTTGTCTAACGATCGACTGACTGCATCTTACCTTTCCTTAAAGCACTCAGAGGAGTTGTACGGATTATAAAGCGGATATCTGAATGTCTTCAAGCTTTTGATAATCTGAAGGCTCATATAGGCCGATCGTCTCATGTCCAAACCATAACAAGGTAAACCCCTGTACATATATTTGTCTGTGTCACCATCAGCCATGAGTTCAGTGCTCATAAGAGAGGAAGAGCAAGTGCAACAACTAGTATACTGCGTAAGTCAAGCACTGATAGGAGCAGAGGTTGTTATCCAAAGGTAGAGAAGCTTTTGCTCGCTCTCATTGTGTCTGCTTCAAAGCTCCGGGCAAACTTCGAAGCACATACCAGCTACCCACTCTGACAAGTATTGAACAATCGAAGGTCTCAAGACGAGTGATTAAAGAAGAGATCCAGCTAGGAGGTTTTGTCATACAATTTAAAGCAAGGCATGCTCAGAATGAGTAGGAAATGGTAGACTTTACAGTTGAGTTCACTCCGTCACACGTAGGCAAGGCCATTATGATAGACTGGAGACCACTACCCGAAAGCAACATTCGGGCAGTGGAGCCTATTTATGAATGGGCTATCCAACAGAAACGGAACCGGATTGCTCATCATTACCTCTGACCGCATGGAATTTGAATATGCTCTACGTTTCAAATTCAAAGTGTCGAACAACGAGGAAAAATACGAGACTCTGTTAGCAAGTACGCATCTCGCTTTGGAACTTAGGGCCAAGTATATAGTGGCTCGCATTGACTCAAAATGAATGGTGAACCATATGAATAAGGAGTTCCAGTACCGATATAACACCCAAAATGGGCAGAACTTTAAATTATATTTCCCTCTCTAAACAAATTTGACTTACCAAGTTTGGAGTTCCTTATGATTAGCAAAGTAGTAGGAAAGTATAGGTATTTAAGTTTTACTTTGTACTTAAATAGAAAATGGGCCTTCTTGGCGCAGTGGTGTGTAGGTATGGAAGGAAGGATTATGTTATAAGGATCAACACCTCTTTACAATAGTTTTTGAATGTTTTTGTTTTTTTCTAATTTATTGTTAGGCATGTCACTGTTGGCTAAGACCAACATAAATTTTGATTAATATTATTGTTAGATTGTAAACTTGCGTCACAAGTAAACTGAGCTTCTAATCAAGAGATTGTACCATAAAAGGGTTAAAATATATGTTAAGTTTTTTCTATGCTATGTTATGCAAAGGACTTCAAATAATTTTTTTGTGTATGCCAAGTGATAACCACAAACCGATTAGATTTTGCTTCAGCTCAGTTTGCAATTCTCATATAAGTATAATAACATAATGTATGACAACTTATATAAAAATGAAAAGACACAAAGGAAATAAAGTTAAACACTTATCAAATATTCACCAACAAAGAGATAACTTGAAAGGAAATGAGAAATACAATCAATTAGGCAAATTTTAAACCTATTCAAGCAAGTTGTTTTACTGTCGGGTAAGTTATTGCTGGTAATTGAAGTGCTTCCAAATGAAGTTTTAATACAGGAAATTGATACTACAAGCAATATAGCAGAGCTTTTAAACCTAAATGCAAGTGCAAATGTGTCGAAATACCAAAGCAATTTGGTAAATGTAGGCTACAGAGCTTTGAAGTTTTTTTTTTTTTTTTTTTGTGAGTTGAATATCCTTGCCTTCTGCCTTTCTGCTACCTTATATAGAACAGGTTTTCCCATTGGTTCAAGCATCTTCCCTTCGAAGTAATTCTCTCTCCTCCTAGTTGTTAATGTGACTACTAATAGGGGATAAGAATTTACGTTGCAACTTGAGCTTTCATCCCATCAAAATTATCGAAATGCCATTAGAAAGTTGCTTTTCCTCTGTAACAACCCAATGTGAAAGAGGGTTTTGCCGCCCACAATTTTACATATAAAGCGCTTTCAAATTCTTAAGCTTGCGCATTGTTCACTTCTATCAAAATAAAGACTCATATGTGCGTTGTGTTAAATAACGAGATTAGGCCTCAAACATGGCCAATGTTAATTTTAAGTCCGAACAACTCCTACCCTGCTTCAAGGGCTTGCATGTACAGTAAAATGCTTACCTCGTACAGTTTGATTACTTAATTTCTATTTTTTGAAACTTAATTACGAGTTAGCCTATACTAATTATTTAAAGTTCTGAAACATGTTATAGAATTATTTTATGTTACGAAACATGTTATAGTTTTGATTACCATAAAAGTTTATGCAGTTTCAGCACGTCATGATAAATGCAATAAAAATATTATAACTAACACGTGGCATGAT